TCCCATCCCTCCCTGCCCTTGTCCCAAGCCCCTCCCCAGCTTTCCTGGAGCCCCTTCAGGCACTGGAAGCTGCTCTAAGGTCTCCCTGGAGCCTTCTCTTCTCCAGGCTCAACACCCCAACTCTCCCAGCCTGGCCCCAGAGCAGAGCTGCTCCAGCCCTCCCATCATCTTGGTGGCCCTTCTCTGGACCCTCCATCAGGTCTAGATGTGCTGAGGGCACCAGAACTGTGGGCATTAAAAACCTGATGGGGTTCAAAGAAGGCTGAAGAAGGCAGGGGTTTTCTTCCAGAGGAGAGTTTTACCTTCTGGCAAGGAAATACCCCCAGGCTGGAGCCCAGCAGGCAGGGGGCAGGGAGATACAGGGTGTCTGAGGGCTGAACAAACCCAACATCAGCCTCAGAACTCCTCCAGCCGTTCAGTTTGCAGTCTCTAGCACAGCAGGGCTGGGACATTTCTCCTTGGAAAACTTCTCTTCTGGGTTTTCCTCTTCTCCCAGCCCACGTGGAGCCAATTCCAGTAGCATTTCTCCCTGCAAAATTCTTTCTTTTGGACAAACCAGGCTCTAACTCCAGACTTTTCATTCTGTAATCAGTTGCTACATGTTTTGTTTTCTTGTTAACCAACAAATCAATGCCACAGTCATCCTCCCAATCTGTAAAAATGCTTCTCTCCCTGTACAATACTTTCCCTAACAGGTGTTAAAGGTGGAAAAGGTACCATGAACATTAAAAAAAAAAAACAACAAGCAAAGGAAAAGAAAATAATTGTACAAAGAGACATTGCAACAACTCAAGGGAGGAAGAAAGTCAGAGGTTTAGTTCACACCGAGGTATAAAATTGCTATTGCTGGTTTAGCCTGGGAGGAAGGAGATTTTTCCAGGTGGGAAGGTGGTAATGGAGGCAGTTCCAGGCTTCCCTGGGATGATGTGATGGCACCGTTGCAAAACCCACCCACAACATCCATTTCTTCCCTGATTTCTGCCTCCCCCTCCTCCTGCCACCCCCTGCTCCGTGTCCCTCCGGAGACGCTCAGCACCCCCAGCTCTTCCTGCCAGAGCTGTTTGGCATCTTCAGCCTCCCAGAGAAGTTGGAAATGATGGTTGTTTTCTTAAAAAAAAAATTAAAAAAATCCCTAAAATTAGTGCAAATTAGAAAAGGGTGGTGGGGGAGGAGGGGGGTGTGAGACCAGAGGCAGGTTCAGGGAAGGCGCCGGGAAGAAGCGATTTGTGCTGTAAATCCAACCCTGGGCCCCAGGAGTGTTCAAAAAAGAACAGCAACACCCCAATTCCCAGCTGGCCTTCTCCATTTCCTGAAACTTCCCGTGGCCTGCCAGTTATTGCAAGAGAAATGTGCTTTTTTTTTAATATCTATTTAAGAAAAAAAAAAAAAAAGAGGAGTTATTTGTGCTCTCCTGCCACCCAGCAGTGGGTGGAACCAGGAACCAGGCACAGCTGAGGAAAAGCCCCAAAGTTCCCAAAGTTCCATGTTCATGGTGACTTTGTCCTGCTCATGGTTTTCCTCCTTTTTTTGCTTCTTTCCCCCCTGTTATTCCCACGGATTTGAGGTTTTGGCTGAAGCTGCCACCAGGCAGAGCCTTGCTGGGAACAGCTGCTCTGGCCGGGGAGGAATTGCCCTGGGATGCTGCGCGGATGAAGGCACCAAGAGGGGGTTTGGCTCCAAGCTGGGGTGAGCTGGGTGCACATGGGGAACGCTGGGGGTTTGGGCTTCAGGCCAGCACACCCTGCAGGCAGAAGGCTCTTTGTGGGATGCAACCAGGAGCCAGGGCACAGGGGCAGAGCTTCACATCGCCGTGGGACCTTCCGAGATCTCCTCCAGCCTCTGCTCGATCATCAGCCGGAGGATGGAGTATCTGGGGAGGAGGAGGGCGAGGAAGAGAGAGGAGGGTTTTGCTGCATCAAAATTCCAGTTGCCCCAAGAAAACCCTGGAATTAACCCCCCAGCAATGCCCCCCTTGGGGCCCCCAACCCCCCGTACTTGCGCATCAGCTTCTTCACCTCCCGATCCTCCTCTTCCTCCAGCTTCTGGATGAAGCTCCTGAGGACGGGCATCTCAAACTTGATGTACTGAGCGACCTGGGGGGGAGGGAAGGAAAGGAGAGAGGAAAGAGAGAAGAGAAGAGAAGAGAAGAGAAGAGAAGAGAAGAGAAGAGAAGAGAAGAGAAGAGAAGAGAAGAGAAGAGAAGAGAAGAGAAGAGAAGAGAAGAGAAGAGAAGAGAAGAGAAGAGAAGAGAAGAGAAGAGAAGAGAAGAGAAGAGAAGAGAAGAGAAGAGAAGAGAAGAGAAGAGAAGAGAAGAGAAGAGAAGAGAAGAGAAGAGAAGAGAAGAGAAGAGAAGAGAAGAGAAGAGAAGAGAAGAGAAGAGAAGAGAAGAGAAGAGAAGAGAAGAGAAGAGAAGAGAAGAGAAGAGAAGAGAAGAGAAGAGAAGAGAAGAGAAGAGAAGAGAAGAGAAGAGAAGAGAAGAGAAGAGAAGAGAAGAGAAGAGAAGAGAAGAGAAGAGAAGAGAAGAGAAGAGAAGAGAAGAGAAGAGAAGAGAAGAGAAGAGAAGAGAAGAGAAGAGAAGAGAAGAGAAGAGAAGAGAAGAGAAGAGAAGAGAAGAGAAGAGAAGAGAAGAGAAGAGAAGAGAAGAGAAGAGAAGAGAGGGACAAACCAGGGTGATGAGGAGGGTGATGCTCCCACCCCTCCCACCTCCCCAGGGCTCCCTGGGGACATCGAGGACTTTTTGCAAAAAACACAAAAAACCCTCCCCCCCATCAAGAACATCCACTTCTGCAAACTGATTATTGGGGAAAAAACTTCCACAGTCCAAGCCAAAATTCCAAAATGTCATTTCCAACCCAAGCCCTTCTGTGATGATTTTATTTCAGCCACCACCTGCAGGACCTGGCTCCTTCAGCCCGCGATCCCTGCGCATCCCCAGCGTCTCACCAGGTGCTGGTAAAAGGCCAAATACACCCCAAAAATGCCTCATTTGTGCTCAGACCTGGGCGGAGCAGCCCCGGCTGGGAAGGTGGCAGCAGGTGGCACCAACGAGCCGCTCCCACCCGCCGAGCGTTCCCGGCTGGAAAAAAGTCATTATCATCGAATCATGGAATTGTTTGGGTTGGAAGGGACCTTCAAGATCATCCAGTCCCTCCTCCTGCATGGGCAGGGACCCCTCCCACCAGCCCAGGCTGCTCCAAGCCCCATCCAACCTGCCCTTCAACACCCCCAGGGATGGGGCAGCCACAGCTTCCCTGCCCAACCTGGGCCAGGCTCTCACCACCCTCACAACAAAGAATTCCCTCCTCATCTCCAACCTCCATCTCCCTCTCTCACTTTTCCTCCATTCCCCTCATCCCATCCCTCCCTGCCCTTGTCCCAAGCCCCTCCCCAGCTTTCCTGGAGCCCCTTCAGGCACTGGAAGCTGCTCTAAGGTCTCCCTGGAGCCTTCTCTTCTCCAGGCTGAACACCCCAACTCTCCCAGCCTGGCTCCAGAGCAGAGCTGCTCCAGCCCTCCTATCATCTCCATCACTCCTCTGGACTGTCTCCAGGAGCTCCATGTCCTTCTTATGCTGGAGGCTCCAGAACTGGACACAGTTCTCCAGGTGGGGTCTCACCAGAGCAAAGTAAAGGGGGGAATCACTTCTCCTGACCTCCTGGTCAGGCTTCATTTGATGCAGCCCAGGACACTGTTGGTTTCTTGGTTGCAAGTGTTCACGGCCAGCTCATGTTGGGTTTCTCATCAACCAACAGCCTCAAGCCCTTCTCCTCAAGGTTCTTTCTGATCCATTCTCCCCCAGCCTGTATTTGTGCCTGGGGTTGCCCTCACCCAGGTGCAGGACCCTGCCCTTGGTCTTGCTGAATTTCATGAGGCTGGGATGGCCCCACCTTTCCAGCCTATCAAGGTCCCTCTGGATGGATCCCTTCCCTCCAGGGTGTCTCTTTTCCATACATCTTGGTGTGGTCACCAAACTGAGGGTTCACTCCATGACACCCAAGGCTGGGCTGCAGTCCCTCTTCCCCAGTAAAAGATTTGGGATGAAGAAATAAGGCCAAGGGTGTTGACTCTTGGCTAGAGCATAAAGCTGCCCTTGAAGCCCAGGATGAGGCTTTTTCCATGAGGTGGGGAGTTCTTCTGGGGAGACAGAAGAAACACAAAACACTTCCCCCATCCCCAGGCATCCTCCTGCCTTTCCAGCCCTGGCTGCAACCTGAGCCCACCCACAAGCACCTGGAACATCCAAAAATGTCTTCACAGAGAGAGTGGTCAGACAGTGGAACAGGCTGCCCAGGGAGGTGGGGGAGTCACCATCCCTGGGTGTGTCTGAGGGTCGTTTGGATGCGGTGTCAGTGGAGATGGTTGAGGGGACAACTTTGCAGAGCAGGGACGATGGTTGGAATCAGTGATCCTAAGAGGCTTTTCCAACCTGAATGGTTCTATGATGATTCTAAGGTTCAAACTCACATCATAGGTGACTTCTTCCACCTGGTCCTTTTCCATGAGGAAGACCTTGGAGACCTGCTCGCAGGGGCCTTGCAGGATGCGGGCGATCAGGGGGTAGTCGCTGGGGCGCAGCTTCTGCTTCTCTGCAAGGGCCAAACGTGCCAGTGCTGGGACCTGGGGGGGCTTTGCTGCCCCAGGGCCAGGCCAGGGGGTGTTTGGCAGACTCACCTCCACTGGTGTGGACAATGTAGAGAGCAAACTCCTCTGCTGAGTTCTCAATCTGGACAGAGACACAAATCACTGCGTAAGGTCCACGTTTCTACCCGGGATTTTCCCAGCAAGGGAGAAAGAAAAATTCCCTTAATTCCATTTTTCTGTTGGAGCTCCTGGAGTGACTCCAGAAGAGCCCATGAAGATGATATTAGGTGAGATATTAGAAAGAAATTCTTCACTCTAAGGGTGCTGAGGAGCTGGGATGGGTTGCCCAGGGAGGTTGTTGATGCCCCATCCCTGGAGGTTTTTAAGGCCAAGTTGGACAAGGTTTTGTGCCACCTGGTCTGGTGGTTCCCTGCTCATGGCAGGGGGGTTGGAACTGGACGATCTTTAAGGTCCCTTCCAAACTTAACGATTCTATGATCCAAGGGCTGGAGCAGCTCTGCTCAGGAGCCAGGCTGGGAGAGTTGGGGTGTTCAGCCTGGAGAAGAGAAGGCTCCAGGGAGACCTTAGAGCAGCTTCCAGTGCCTGAAGGGGCTCCAGGAAAGCTGGGGAGGGACTTGGGACAAGGGCAGGGAGGGATGGGATGAGGGGGATGGATGAAAAGTGAGAGCGGGAGATGGAGGTTGGAGATGAGGAGGGAATTCTTTGGTGTGAGGGTGGTGAGAGCCTGGCCCAGGTTGCCCAGGGAAGCTGTGGCTGCCCCATCCCTGGGGGTGTTGAAGGGCAGGTTGGATGGGGCTTGGAGCAGCCTGGGCTGGTGGGAGGTGTCCCTGCCCATGCAGGTGTGGGACTGGATGATCTTTCAGGTCCCTTCCAACCCAAACAATCCCATGGTTCTATGGTTTTACACCATAGACTGGTGTCAATTCCCCCCTGGACCATCCCAGGGGGAACACCTCCCGTACCTTGAACTTATTGAGCAGCAGTTTGAGGACCTGGGGGGTGGTCATGGTGCTGTTTATCCGCACGTTGGTGACGGAGCCATAGGCCGGCGTGAACACCGAGGTCTGCAGGGCACAAATTCCACGTTAAAAAAAACAAACCAAAACCCTGGGATCTGCCCATCAGGGGAGGTTCTGGGGGGGTCTCACCTTGTGGTTGTAGAAGTGCCCGTTGATGGAGAAGCGGTGGCGGCGGAGGCGACGCTGCTCGCCCGGGGTGCGGGAGCTGCCCCTTCTCCGCACCCCCACGTCGCTCCTGGTCCGCAGCAGCTGCGGGGCCTCCTCCCCCTGTGGCCTGGAACCTGGGAAACAGGGTGGGAAACACCCGCTGGGAACTCAAGGCTGGGGATGTTGCAGCAGGAGTTGCCTCCTCTGGGGCTCCTACCCCAGCATCGTCCCTCCTGGACTTCGCAAAATTCCTATCCCAGAAATCCAGCCCTACAGGACTTTCCCACCAGTTTAAACCAGCAGCTACTGGTTTCTCCTCTCCCAGCTTCAGGGAGTTAATTAATTTCATTAATTCAGAGTGAGCTGCCCAAACCCAGGCCAGCACCTGGACAAAGCCCCTTCTCCCGGGAACACCAGCATCTCAACCCACTTTCCTTAATTCATCCCTATTTCCCTCCCTCCATCCTTTTAATGAGAACAGTCAAACGAGGCCAGAGCTCCAGATCTCAGCATGAAAACTGGCCCAGCTCCAGATTATTATAAACCAGCTCTTCATCCATTTTTAATGATCCCTCCTGGGCTTGAATGTTCTGAATTCAAAGCGTGTCTGAGAGCAGGGAAAACACCTCCCGTGTGTGCGGGTGGGGCTGCCCCAGGAGCCCTGCACACACCTCGTGCACTGACTTCTGATCAGGGTTTTGAGACCAAAAAAGAAAGATCCTAAAAGATCTAATTTTTTTAGGGGCTCCAGAGGATTTACAGCCTCTGGTTGAAATAAGTCCCTGGGTTGTTTCTCTGGTGAGAAGGAAGTGCCTGGGGAAGCCTGGAGGGAGGGGGGTTAAAAATAAGAGAATCACGCGTGGGGGGATGAAAAAGGGAAAGGGGAGAAGCTGCGGGATCAGGGAGGGAGCAGAAGGTTTCAGGGATCAATGGGTTTTGCTCCTCCCCGAGCTGGGAAAGGGGATGAGCATCCCCGAGCTGAAAGGATTGGCTGGTTCTTCTCTTCCCTCCTGGCTGGTCCTTCTCCACATTCAGGGAGCAGTTTCCAGCAAAGGAGCCCGGAAAATCAAATATCAAATGGAAATTTAAAAAGTCAGGAACATCTACAGGGTGTCCCGATGAGAGAAAGGCATAAAGCAGGTTTTTCCGGGGT